AGATATAAAGTATAAATTATCTAATACTCGTATTTGCTAGAATAAAGTTTGTATTCCTCACTTATTTTTCTTAGTAAAAAATCAGTTATACCCTCCTATTATTCTAGGAACTCCTTTTATAAATGCAATTTATCCTTTTACAAAAATAAATGCTAAAGGATTTTCTGCTACTTATAAAAATCAAGATATTAGTTATACTTTTATCACCGAGCCTATTTCTAGAGATATTAATGCTCTAATTGAAATGAAACAAAAGCATGTTGATTATTTACAACTTGAGATATTTAGTATGAATATATTCGATACTTTAAAATCTGCTAAAATACAGGAAAAAATTAAACTCATTTCTGAAAAAATGGCCATTGATATTTGTGCTGATCATCCTAGTGCCTTTTGAAATCGGAAAAAGCATATTGTAACTCTTCCATATGAAGATGATTTCTCTGAGGAAAATATTCCTACCAAATCTCGTCCTTGTCAGATGAATACCGAATTGGTTGAATTCTGCAAAAAGGAAATTGATAATATATTACAAGTGGGGAGAGAGAAAGAAAGAAAGAAGGAAAGAGGGTTTCTAAAACCTGCTCTTCTTTAAAGAAAAACAAACTTATTTATAGAAAAAAGAAAGCATCTATGTACAGGATACTGGGCCCCTATCTGGGTCCTGGTAACAGTGTATTTACTGTTGGTGAACAGTGTTGCTACAGTAGTGCGGGCCCACTACCGACGCGCCTAAGCTTTACACTTTGTCTTTTAATTTTGCCAAAAAATCTTCGGCTTTCTTCAGTGCATCCACTGGACTTTCTTCTTCATATTGTTGGGCTTCGTGCATATCTTCACTTGTTTCACTACGCATTGAAGAATCTGATTTCGCGTAATGACTTGTATTTAAAAGAATCTTCTTCTTGACTTCTTCTAGATATCTCATAATCATTTCATTTTGCTCTCCTTCATCATGATTAGAAATTTTTCTAGCCATATGTTTTACGGAGGTCGAGTCATCAGTCATGATTCCTTTATTAGGAATTGATTTATAATCGTGTACGGTTTTCGTAATTAGATCCAGCAGTTCTTGTCCGTATATGGACTTTGTTTGAGGATCTTTATTAGGAATTGATTTATAATCGTGTACGGTTTTCGTAATTAGATCCAGCAGTTCTTGTCCGTATATGGACTTTGTTTGAGGATCTTTTTTCATCAACTTGTCCCAAAAATTATTATAATAAGTTCTGTATAGACAAGGGATTTGTTCCTCAGTAAAATCTACTTCCGGAACCCATTTATGAATCCATGGAACAGAAAATTCTATAAAAAAGTATATCTGTTCAATTTGTTGAAAATAACAAATATGTTCTTGATGATATAATTTGTTGAGATCTGGGGAAACCTTGACCCATTCTTTGTATAACTTGTGAAATGGTTCGGGCAATATTTTTATTGTTGGCCCGTGGTATGACCACCAGTTTAAAAACCAATTTGGTATAGGATTCGCAAATATCTTGGCACATACTTTTATAAACCAAGTATGTTTATGCCTCTCATTGTTATAACAGAGAACTTTATTAAATGCCTGAATATAATCCCAATAGGTAAAGCTTACCATGACTTTGTTTAGACTGAATTGTCTTTCAGTCATTGAGGAAATACCCCAATCTTCAATATGAATGATGTGTTTTATAATCATTTTAGAGAAGTTATAAACATTCTCACTTGTATTATATCCTGAAAAATGTTGAAATTCAACACCTGTGCTTATTAGCAGAGTCTCATAATATTTTCGAGTTTTGTATGACTCACCCGGGAAATAAAGCCCATTAACTAAATACCTCTGGAATATCTTCCAAGGTTCTTCTCTTCTCTGTATGTCAGAGTTTTCTAAGAGAAATATCATTTCTCTTTTTTCTACCTTTTCATATGTTTTGATATCATCAACTTCTTCTTTGGCGATTGAAGCAAAAGAATCACCCTGCTTTTGAGTTATAAACTCTTATAGTTTAGCATATAATGGATCACTTTCTGGAATATCTTCCAGATGTATTGATGATGAAGCTCTTTCTTGTGCTCTAGAGTTTAAGTTATATAAACTCATTCCTCCCTTTTGTATAATTGGAGTACTAGATGATGAAGATCCGTATGATGATCTCGATGAACTTGGGGATGATCTTCCCCTTCCGCGAGTATAACTGCCTTTTCCTCTAGCCTTGGTTATCCAAGGAGGATCCATCCTGCAAACATAGCATTTAGTTTTAATCATTCAAGAAGTTATATTTTTAATCATGTAAGAGGTTATAAACTTCATCACAATAAAATCTTTCATAAAGCTCTTGTTCAATCATGTAATTATTGACAATATCAATCACCATTCCATCTATAATTTTCCATAATATAAGTTCCTTTAAATCTCTAATAAGAGGAACTGCCTTCAAAATCGTAACCAAATCTTTATCAGGAAAGAAGTCAAGAAAACCCATCAGAAGAAAGATATTCCCTTGATAAGAAGTCTGGGAGGGAGTTATCACTTCCCTTTTTATACTGAATTTCGAAATCAAAAGGAATTATTATTATTATAATTATAATTATTATTATAATAATAATAATAATAATAATAATAATAATAATTCAATATGGGCAATTTGAAAATTGTATAAAAGAATTAAGGGCAAAAAGGTAATATACTTGGTCAACATAAAAGGGCTTTTAAGTTTTAAAAAAAAAAGCTCCCCCCCACCTAGCTTTTAGCTTTTGGCTTAAAATAAGTCATTTTTGACTTAAAATAAGTCATTTTGATAATTGCCAAACACTCTAATAAGTCAAAAACTGGCTTTTAAGTCAGTTTGACCAGCTTAAAAGCCCGTCCAAACAGGCTCTAAAATTATCCAAACATGGCTCGTCACAAGAAAAAGGAAAAGCTAGTGAAACCTCAAGAAAATGTTCAAACCATTGTAGAGCCATGGCCAAATCTCCCTCAAAAACTCCTAAACTTAATTGGAAAACAATATCATCTAATGCAAAACATCAGTTTTGGCGGTGTTGCCAAATCATGGAGAGTAGGATCTAAGCAATGTAGTTGTAATTCACAACTAACATGGCTTGAATTACTTCCTAACAAAGATCAACACATTAAACATACTCTCAACATCTCATTTCGATCAGGTCAATATTCGTGTTACAGTAAAAGACCACGGAATGATCCCTGGACGCGTTTTTATGGTTGTTGGATCGATTATGGCTGGTGGAAACGATTCTGCAGAGTATACTCTTTTGATTCCTACTGTTAGAAACTGTTATTGGAGATTTGGAGTATTCCCCTTTGGGATCACTCAATTCCATTCAAATTTGCAACTCTGTCTTCAATTCCTTACAACAATTGGTCTGTTATGGTACTAACAGGATGTTCCTATCCACTTTTCGTGGCTTGTCATACAGGATACCCTTATAAATGGATGAAACAAACGAGTAATCTCATCGATCCGAATTGTTCAAAAAGACAACTTATGATACTTACTAATGCTATTGGTTTTGAAGGGAAGTTTTATGCAATAAGTTTGCAGGGTACTTTAGTGGTAATTGAATCGAAATTTCAGGTGACTAAAGTAAGCAGTAGTAGGGCTGTTCCATCAGTTTACTCAAAGCATTTCACGGAGTATTTTGTTGAATCCAATGGAGAGATCTTGTTGATTTTTTTGATTTCGGAACAATCGATTAGGAAGGTAGATAAAGTTGAAGTGATGAAGCTAGAGATGGATGATGTATCATGGTTAAAATTGGATAATCTTGGAAATAGAACGTTGTTTGCAGGGACTAATTGTTGTATATCAGTTAATGCAAGTAGTCAATTGGGCTGCAGAAGCAACTGTATCTACTTCAATGACCATGCTACTGATACTTGGAAGTTTTATGAATTGGGAAGTGATAATATTTCGCCCTGTTTTGATGATTATGGTTCTCAAAAGTGGAGAACATTTTTTATAAATTACATTGTATATATAGATCGAATACTTAGCTATGTATGGTGCAAATTAACTAATCCTCGCAAGATAAAAGAGATCAAGACACTTGTCCAATTCTTATTCATTGAAATAATGAGTCGCTTGAATTGACGTATAATTTATAATCTCTAGTTCTTATAAAATAAATTTATTGAGATTTTTTTATAGTTGAAAATAAGCTAATCATTCAAAATTTAAGAAAACTCTTGCGAACTTTCTCCCTTCCTATATTTATCCTTCATTTAATGAGATTTTTAAAAAAAAATTCCATTTTTTAATTAGAATTATTTGAAAATGATCAAAAAAGCTAATATTAAGAATTAGCTTTTGATACATATTCTTAAATATATTTTTTTTAAAAAGTGTTATATATCAATGATTCACTTAATATGAATAAGTAAAAATATAAGTCAAAAGTTATAAGTTACCGTCACTTAATATGAATAGTATGTGTATAAGTCAAAAATCATAAGTTTGTGTTTGAATTGATTTTTGACTTATATAAATAAAAAAATTTAACTCATACTACCTCTGTTACTAATAACTTGTCCATTTTTTCTTTTTTTACTTGTCTATTTTTGACAAATCTAGAAAAGATGTTTTTTTACATATTATATCTTCAGATAATTACTTTGAAAAATGTAGAATATCTAAAAAAAAACTTAAATTTTAATTCATTTACTTCATAATTGATATGGCTAAAATGGTAAACTCATTATATCAATCATTATTTTATTAATAGGTGTATTAATTCAAAAGTGGACGTGTAATTAGGAAAAAAGGGAGTAACTTTTACGCAATTTATTTAATTATTTTGACTTTAAAAAAACTTTTTAATCTTACTCAACTGCTATAAAATTGCTCAAAAAATATTTTAAACTTAAAAACAATTAAATAAGAGAATTATTTTGATCGAAACTCAACAAAAAAAATTTAAAATCTATTTTGAGTTAAAAACATCTGACCTAGAAAATTCGTTTGAGCTTGTATATTCACATTTCAAACCCAGATTTTACAGCGCTCACTTCAAGTAAATGGAGAATTTTAATGGTTTGTCGATGCTACCGGAGGATTGTACTGCGAAAATCTTGGCCTTTACAAGCCCTCTCGACGTCTGCCGCATTTCCCTCGTCTCTAAATCACTTCATTCCGCCGCGGAGTCTGATTCCATTTGGGAAAAATTTCTGCCCTCCGATTATCAGTCGATCATTGCTGCATCACCGAGTCCCATCCCTGAATTTCATTCAAAGAAGGATCTCTTTGTTTATCTCTGCCATAGCCCTCTCTTAATTGATGCAGGTCGCAAGGTAATAAATGAAAAGCTAAAGGATTGTATTTATACTTTTCATTAGTCAATTTAGTGTTATTTAAGAGACTCCATAGCGTACTTTTTGTCTGCAATACCAATCGCATGAATTATCTTGGGTGGGGTCGAATTTTGAGTTTATATGTTCCAGATTTTAATAGTAAAAAAGTAGCTTTAATGGGTATAATTTTTAATACATATACAAAATTGAGCCGAAGTTATTAGCTTTTGCCAAAACCCTAAGGGACCTGTAGACTTTTTTGTCTCTGTTTTGATTTTTCCATATGGTGTCCAGTACTCTATTGGGGCAAGACTAAATTCAGATTTACGCATAGCAAGACCCAATTCTGATGGCGGTGTTTCCAACATGATTTTTTTTTAAAAATTTTCTTAGAGGCTCGAACCTTATACACCTGTAGTTTACAAGGTGAAGATCATGGTATTGAATTATTGATTATTGAGGATGTCCTTTAAAATGTATTGATTAGTAAATACTAGATTTAAAAATTGTTTTAATAAACTAAGCTTGTGATCTTTTTCTCACTAATGGAGTGTCAATTGTCAACTTGTAAGTAATAAATTATGAGTTTGCTCATAACTCCTACCATCAACTTTATTACCTTGGGTAGAGAACACAAATTAACTTGAAAATTTAATTTGGTAGTAAATGTTTTCCTTTATTTCCCTCAAAGGCTAGTGCTACTTATCTTTATCCTTTAAGATGTTTTTATAAACAGACATCTCTTGTCATCAGGGGCGGAGGCAGGTAGGGCCAACGGGTTTTTGGCGAAATATTACACTTTTTATACTTGGTTAAAAATATTTTTTATGCATGTATATTAGAAGTTGAATCCTCTTGGCTTCTTTGTGTGTTAATTGTTTATATTTTGAACCTTAGTAAAAAATTTGGTTCCACCCTGCTCATCTTGTAAAATCTCTATTGGAACATGTTTCTGTAACCTTGTCGTGTTTCATTAGTTGTGCATTTCTTACTTTACGCTATTGTTCAACAGAGTTTCTCACTGGATAAACGGACCGGAAAGAAATGCTACTTTCTAGGTGCAAGGGATCTTCAAATTACATGGAGTGATACACCCCAATATTGGAAATGGACTTCACTACCAGAGTCCAGGTTTGCCTTTTTTGTTTCCGCGGATATCTAGCTACTATCCTTTTCCTGAAACAGATGTATGCATATTTAACGACAATTGTTTGTCAAATCAGGTTTCCAGAGGTAGCTGAGCTCATACATGTTTGGTGGCTCGACATTCTGGGCAAAATAAGAGCTGGGATGCTGTCACCTCGGACATCCTACACAGCTTACCTTGTTTACAAGCTGGAAGATGAATATGGTTTTATTTATCGACCCTCAGAGGTTTCAGTTGGAATTTCTGGTGTTGAAGTCGACACGCGATTAGCATTTCTGGTGCCTGAGGGTAGACCTCAACGGCGTGATCGCTTTGAAGAGGCAGAGATCGGGGAATCAGATGATGATTATGAGGTTTTTACTCCACCCTCTGATGTGGATATGGAGGATGCTTCTAGTGTCATGCAATCTGATATTCAACGTCCTAAACTTAGAGATGATGGCTGGTTTCAGATAGAATTGGGCGAGTTTTTTACTGAAAATGAAGACGACTGCATAGAAATGAGTATGAAAGAGGTGAAAGACTCTGTATCTCATAAGGAAGGCCTTATTGTTGAAGGAATTGAGATAAGACCAAGAATAGGTTAATCATCATATATTTTATAGAATATTTTTGCTATACAGCTACAATGCATTTCAAATAGAGCATGTTTCTTTTTGGACCACTCATCTATTTCAAGTATGTTTTGGTGCTATGGTAACTGGAGTTCTTGTTTATAAATCCATACTGTACTTTTTGTTTTCAGAACCATAATCATATAATCAGGGCAATGAACTAGGTTTGCACTTCCCATTTCATTAAACTGCCAATTATTAGTGGAATGCTCAGTAGTTAGATGAGATGTTTGTTCTCCAGTTTGAACTTTTGTAAGCATAAAATGCAGAAGTCATTATTTTTCAAGAATCAACCTTGGAGCACAAGGTTAGTGGTAGTTTCTTTCAATTAAATAGTTGAGTTGACTATTTAGATGCCTTATATATTAATTTTGTAACTGATTAACAACAACAACAACAACATGCCCAGTGAAATCCCACTAGGTGGGGTCTGGGGAGGGTAAAGTGTACGCAGATCTTGCCACTACCTCGTGGAGGTAGAGAGGCTGTTTCCGGGAGACCCTCAGCTCAAGAACAACAAATCTAAGTGACAGGAGAGATATATATAAAACATAACAGCCAATACAAAAGACAGCGTATAATCAACAAATGAGACAATAACGACAAGAAAGTAATGCGATGCGTGAAACGCAGTAAACAACATAAGGCTAGGTCTACTCCAAACGCTAACAACCCATACCCTTGCAAGGGAAGACAACACGCTAACCCTACTAACCTTCAACCTTAATACGCGACCTCCACTCCTTCCTATCTAGAGTCATGTCCTCGGTAATGTGAAGCATAAGAAACAACAGCTAAAGCATTAAATACAAATCGAAATAAAAAATATTACACCACTAAGGAAGGAGAAGTATCCCCTACTGTAGCAATAGTAATTCCTCTCTTTTTCTCTTCAGGGGATTTGTCAATTTCATCAAATGCAACCGCCTTGGCCTTTCCTTCTTGGAGCTTAAGGCTAATAAAATAAACAGCTAGAACAGAGAGGATTAGATTATAAAAGCATTTTTTGGATTGTTCGATAAGCTGCAGAATTAAACTTTGTTCCTTTTGACAATTATCTATACATGGCTCCAAATATTAAGAGGAAACAGAAAACTTCATCAAAAGAAGAGCCTTCTTATGTGGAACCATGGCAAAATCTTCCTGAAAAGCTACTCAACTTTCTCAAAAAGCAACCAAGACCTTCAAAACTAGTTGAATCCATAGGTACTGCTGGTATTTCTAAATCATGGAGATGTGTGTCGAGAAAATGTGATTCCATTTCACAATCACCGTGGCTTGAGCTTTCAAATGAACCTCAATACTATTGCAAAACTCAGCAGCATGCCTTCAGCATCTCATTTGAAGAAGCTGGTTGCTATTGGTGGAATGGTAGAAGAAGGCCGCGTTATGATCTTTGGAAGCATTTTCACAACTACTCACCTTGGTGGATTTTGAAAGGAGATAAGCTACCTATTGATTACTGCTTTCTGAATAGTTCAAGAGCCTATTGTTATTGGTCTACTTCCTCGTCTGATCGCAAAAAAACATTTTTATTTCCCTATTCCTCTAATGGTGGTGGCGGTTGTTGTTTTCCAGCTTTTGTAGTTTCTAAGTTAGGAGGAAACCAAAAATGGATGAAACAAGAAAGCAGTCAAAATGGTCTTATTGATCCGAATGATCCTAAGGGGCAACTGATACAATTCAGCAATGCCATTATCTTCAAAGGGAAGTTTTATGCACTAAGTTCGCAAGGAACCCTGGCTGTAATAGAAGAAGTTGAAAATCAGTTTCAAGTCACGCGATTTAGTAGAAGGCAAGCCATTCCTTCAAGCTACTCAAGGCATTTCATAGAGTACTTGGTTGAATCTAATGGAGAGATCTTGCTCATTTTTCTGATCTCAGAAAGATCAAACAGGGTGGTGGACAAAGTGGAAGTGTTCAAGCTGAAGATTGAAGATTTGTCATGGTTAAGATTGGAAAACCTCGGGGATAGAACGTTATTCGCAGGGATTAAATGTGGTATGTCAGTGCCTGCAAGTCAAATTGGCTGCAGAAACAACTGTGTCTATTTTACTCATCATTACATTGATGGCTGGAGACTGTATGATATAGGAAGTGGCTGCATTTCCCCCTGTTATGATGATGCTGGTTCTGAGATTAAAGATCCAGTGTGGGAGGAGCCAATAATTGGAAAAAGAACATCACGACGATGAAACACATGTTTATGATTCAGTATTTCTTCTATGTTGTATTATCATTCTGACATGTTAGTAACCTTGTTACAGTGTGAAATAAAAGGAATTCCTGTACATCTCTTCTGAGACCAAAGTTCAATTATTATTATTGTTACATCACTTGCATCAGTTCATGTTTCTATTAACTCATTTTCCATGCTTTGCCCCCATGGCAAATCGAAATATTATAGTGATTAATAAAGAAGAAGAAAATTATAAAAGGGACAGGTGACATTTAGTCCCTCTCTGTTAGGAGTTTCACAAAAGAAAATTATCTGGACAGCATCCCACTGCTATTAGTGCACCATGGGAATGAGTGAATGACCCTTGAAATATATCCACGGGTCCTTCCATGTCCGCAATCTTCTACCATAAGGCTAGTAATATCCCATATAAAGCCAGATATGGAAGCAGTGAGAATGATTCTTGTTTTGTTGAATTTCAGTGAGTTGTGGCCATAGCGGCTTCCCTATTGGCCTACAATATTTTTGACTTTGCTGATCTCTGTGACTTGGTGACACCACCAAAAGTGATGTTTTCCAGTAGACTCGGTTCACTTGAGATTAAGCTGGTGAGTTCTTTGGGAAGACATGGCCATTGCCTTGGGCTGGTATTGGTTTCTTTCTTTGGTGAAATTTGATTCTTTTCCTTCTGACTTTTTTTTTGTGCAAATGGGAGCTGGCAAAGGAAATGGTATGGGCATGTAGCTTGAGGCAGGCTTAAAAGTGATCAAGATCAGATGTGGCCAAAAAGTAAGCTAGCTTCCAAGGTAGTTGATCTCTTGGAGAACAAGGTTAGTGGTAGTTTCTTTCAATTAAATAGTTGAGTTGACTATTTAGATGCCTTATATATTAATTTTGTAACTGATTAACAAAAACATAAATGAAAAATAATTTCTGAAGAAGTCAACATCTTGATTCTTGGAGCCTAAGGCTCATAAAATAAACAGCTAGAACAGGGAGGATTAGATTATAAAAGCACTTTTTGGATAGTCAGACAAGCTCGGAATTAGACTCTGTTTTTTTTCGACCATTATCTAGACATGGCTCCAAATGATAGGAGGAAACAGAAAACTTCATCTAAAGAAGAGTCTGCTTCTGTTGAACAATGGCAAAATCTTCCTGAAAAGCTACTCAACTTTCTCAAAAAGCAACCAAGACCTTCAAAACTAGTTGAATCCATAGGTACTGCTGGTATTCCTAAATCATGGAGATGTGTGTCGAGAAAATGTGATTCCACTGCACAATCACCATGGCTTGAGCTTTCAAATGAACCTCAATACTATTGCAAAACTCAGCAGCATACCTTCAACTTCTCATTTGAAGAAGCTGGTTGCTATTGGTGGCATGGTAAAAGAAGGCCGCGTTATGATCCTTGGAAGCATTTTCACTACTACTCACCTTGGTCGATTGTGGAAGGAGAAAAGGTACCTATAGATTATTGCTTTCTGAGTAGTTCCAGAGCCCATGGTTGTTGGGCTACTTACTCGTCTGATCATAAAAAAACATTTTTATTTCCAAGGGATGGCCATTGTTGTTTTCCAGCTTTTGTAGTTTATCAGTTGGGAAAAAACCAAAAATGGATGAAACAAGAAAGCAGTCAAAATGGTCTTATTGATCCGAATGATCCTAAGGGGCAACTGATACAATTCAGCAATGCCATTATCTTCGAAGGGAAGTTTTATGCACTAAGTTTGCAAGGAACCCTGGCTGTAATAGAAGAAGTTGAAAATCAGTTTCAAGTCACGCGACTTAGTAGAAGGCAAGCCATTCCTTCAAGCTACTCAAGGCATTTCATAGAGTACTTGGTTGAATCTAATGGAGAGATCTTGCTCATTTTCCTGATCTCAGAAAGATCAAACAGGGTGGTGGACAAAGTGGAAGTGTTCAAGCTGAAGATTGAAGATTTTTCATGGTTAAGATTGGAAAGCCTTGGAGATAGAACGTTATTCGCGGGGATTAAATGTGGTCTATCAGTGCCTGCAAGTCAAGTTGGCTGCAGAAACAACTGTGTGTATTTTACTCATCGTTACATTGATGGCTGGAGACGGTATGATATGGGAAGTGGCTGCATTTCCCCCTGTTATGATGATGCTGGTTCTGAGATTAAAGATCCAGTGTGGGAGGAGCCAATAATTGGATAAAAAAATGAAACACATGTTTATGATTCAGTATTTCTTCTATGTTGTATTATCATTCTGACATGTTACAGTGTGAAATAAAGGGAATTCTTGTACATCTCTTCTGAGACCAGAGTTCAATTATTACTCAATTAATATCACTTCATGTCTCTTATTAACTATAGATAATATAATGGGCTGCAACTTATAGTTGTTTAAGTTATTCCAACTGAAAATTTGGTGCTGCCTGGACTTAATGATTTATATGATACTGGTGAAACATACGACAATGACTCTGGTGTATGGTGTTATGTGAATGACAATGAAAAAGGACATATTTTTCTAAATTTTCAAACTCCGAGTTTTCAAAGTAAAATTATGTGATGTTTTTTCCCTTAATAAGAAGAAAGGGAACCACTTAAGTTGAAGATAGAAACAAATAATGCGTAGAAATCGTATATTTCATTATCATGGCAAAGAATTTACCCCAATTGAAAACAATATTTCAGTCAAGCTCTTCATCAGCAATGTACCCAGCCTTGGTCTCCTCTGCAAGACTTCTGTACTTGTTCCGCAACTTAGTCCTTCCCTTGCTCAGTAGAGAATTATGGGACTTATGAATCCTGTTTGCACAATTTTCTCTTCTAACTTCAGGTACAAAAACTCGAAAAACCACCTCTTCAAACTCAGGTTTGTACAGTTCTAAATCATCACTACATTTCGTTGCAGGTGCAAAATGAAAAACGTTGTGGAGGTGTTCGTTTTCCATCATATGATTTTTGAAACCGTTGCCTAAAAATTTCCTTATGTAACTCATCTGTTTCAACTTTGACCAGGTGCTAAAAGTGAGACTTGTTCTGCCTAATGTGAGGGTGACTGTCTTATCGTAATCATCCTCGAGAATTTTTGAAGTGTCTTGTTTGGTGCCTTTGCATACTCTCTTTACATGCTCCATTATCCCATCTTTCATGTCCTTCATGCTTGCGTATTCTCTGGCTTGATTTGAAAATTTCTCAAGACTGCCAATTTCAAAAATCAAAGCTAGCGCTTCAATGCTAGCAACATTAACATGTTCATCATCTTCCTCTAATTGTTTCAGAAGAAACGGGATCGATTCTTTCCACTTTTTGGGACTAACGTTCCATCGATCGATGCCTGAAAGAAGGAGAACCCAACCTGATATTGCTGCAGCCGCCACAGAGGATGGATGTTTGGTTTCTTGATTCAAGAATTGCCATATAATTTCCATTGATCTTTCGGTGTCTACAAAGTCTGTGGCACCAACAGAAGTGACAATAGACAAACACTCGAACACCTTGATCGCGTGAGATAATTTGGACTTGATGAGGAGTTCAGGAACTAACATAAGCAATTCTTCATACACCTCATGTGCATTATCACCGGCACCAAGAGTCAAAACAACAAATCCTATTAGTTGTAATGCTAAATCAATCTCCAATGCTGAACCCCGTTTCAAGCAATTTTGGCATCGATGTATCAAAGTGACAAAATTATTTTCAACAAATTCGTAATGGACATTGGTCTGAAATTGCTTAACCAATATCCTTAGTGCGTTTTCTCTGACAGAACTCTTTTTCTTGAATAATTCTTCTAAATAAGTATGAAGCTTCTTTTTTGGAATAGCGGTTGAATTTGAAGCATCGTCCATTTGTATCGACTGCTTAAATTCTTGACGCCGGCTGAGTATGTGGCAGAACTCTGGTATATTTGTACCTTAGTATTCCTATTTATAATACTAATAATAACCAAAATAAACTAAAACTTAGGAATGAGTAATACAAAGTAAACTAGGACTAGAATTAGGTTATTTATTTCCTACAAAAGTTTTTTTGTCAAGCTTCTCTTCCCTCGGTGTAAAATTAAACTAATATAATGAATATAAAATTTTACCCCAATTTCTTTTATGCCGATTGATATGAATCTCAAATATTCTCTAAGGGATTTCTAAGATGTTCCAACTAGTAGGCTTTCTCGTATGATATTCGATCTATATCCCTTTTCACCCTTGGAGGCCTTACGTGTTGTGCAGGAGCATTTTGAAGAAGTTAATTCCTTCTATAAAAATTAATATGCATCTGCCTAAAGAGTAAAGGATTGTTCATTTTAAACACAAAACTGTAGAAATTTTTGGTACCTTGCTGGTGGCTTTTGGTCCTAATGAGTCTATGAACGACTTTGTTTTATCAAGAAGCTGTTTACTAAGAAAAACCTCAACTAACAACTTCCCCCAAAACTCGACCTTTTGAAAGACGAAAAATCAGTCAACACTAAAAAGAAAAACAATCATTTTATTTTTGCTGTCAAAGTGAATTGAATTCTCAACTTTTAACAAAACTTAGAATTTAATCATCCATGAGAGAATTCAATATAAAAAAAAAAGAAAAGCAGTAGTCATGGTTTACAAAAGTGATTTTGTCGATGAAGCAGCTGACGAAGTATAGACACTTGAGGAAATAGTGTAAGTCATAGTCTGCTCCTGCTTATTAAATTCATAGGTATTTGAAAATGGAGACGAAAACATATTCAATGGAGGGGGTGAATATGTTGCAACTGGCATTCTTGATGGAAGATTTGGTAATTGGCCTTCAGAATTTAGAACATGGATTGCTTGCCTTATTGATGGCCTGAGTTTGTTGTCTGGATGAGCACACCATAGACCGATGACCATTAAACGTTCCATTTCTTTCTCATTAAACATTTTATTCAATCTTGGATCAGTTGCTTCGACTAGCTCTCCCGTTCCATAGAGGCTCCACACCCATTCAACCAATCTCACTTCATCTTCTGGTGCTTTAATATTTATTGATCTTCTTCCACTTGCTATTTCCAATGCTACTATTCCAAAGCTGTATACATCTGACTCCTTGCTAGCTTTTCCATTCATGATACATTCCGGTGCCATATACCCCACGGTCCCTGCTAACATTGTTGTTTGAGATCCTTTGTCATGGTCAATAAGCCTAGCCAACCCAAAATCACCTAATTTAGCAGTGAAGTTTGAATCCAACATGACATTACTTGCTTTTATGTCCCTATGGACTACGCATTGTTCCCACTCTTCGTGTAGATACAGCAAAGCTGAGGCAATTGCTTGAGCAATTTTCCACCTTATTTCCCAGACCAACAATGACTTTTCTTTGAAAAGATGTTTATCTAGGCTTTCATTGGGCATCAATTCATAAACAAGATGAAGCTTCTCTTTCTCGTGGCACCAACCGATAAGTTGAACCAAATTTCTATGCCTTAATCGACTGATGATCTTCACTTCTGATGCATACTCCTTTATCCCTTGTTTAGACCCTTTTGACACTCTCTTAACAGCAACATATGAGTTACATTCCTTCAATAAACCTTTATAAACATCACCAAATCCCCCTTCTCCAAGCTTCTGTCCCTCAGCAAAGTTGTTTGTTGCACGAGCTAATTCACCATACGAGAACTTCTTAGGACCGGTACCCTTTTCAAATTCATCATCCATATCTAGATCAATGAAGACATGGTCTAATTTCTTATCTCCTTTCCTCTTTTTCCTCCACAAAAAGCAACTGGCAGTTATCAAACCAAGAATCAGAATAGGTAAACCTATGCTTGATCCGACTACTAGTCCCTTGCTTCCTTTTCCCGAGGTGCTGAGTACTTCTTGAGGAGGACCCTTTGGTTCTTGAACATGAGTAATTGGAGGATCATTTGGATTTTGACCTTGAATAGGATGATTTCTTGGATCTTGAGCTTGTATAGGAGGACTTGCACTAGGCTGTTGTGGAACTTTGATAGCATCAAAACTCAAACTTGAATTGAAATCCCAGGACTTGACATTGTTTTTCTGAAACAATTGTCCAGTTGATGCTGAGAAGCCAAAACTAACATACTCAGGCAAATAATCCCTCAGATCAACCGGGTAGCTTAGTTTGTCTCGATTATATTTTTTCTCAAATCCTGTGAAAACAACTTCAAGAACCTTGGAATTAGCATTGTAACTAATCCAAGCATCATTTTTCTTCCCAAGTTTAATGTCATTTTTCCATATTGTTGTAGCAACAGATTCCATAGAATTTATATTGATGCCTACATGTATGTCTGAGGGGTCCCAGTTATTCACATGTGTATCGAACTCTACAGCAACAAATGACTCATGTGATGACATGTTTTCTGTCTCAGCATCAACAAGACCAAGGCCACTGCCAAACGAACCAACTGGAATACTCGAACCAACAGGAGCTAAGAAAAAGGCTAGTCCATCAGCAAAACGATCATTACCATTTGAATCAATAACAAAAGAGAAATGTGTAGTAAAATCTGTCATTTCCCCTGTAGCTTTGTCCCATAACTGCAGTGTCTCAATGTACGTGGCGCGTCCTGTTTTCCTACTTAATGTAATGTTACGTTCATTAGGCGTAACTTGTATGCCCTGTTTCGTTACATAGGCGTCTCCAGTGACATTGATAGAGAGATTAACATAAGAAGGATTGATATTGGTGAGATTGAAGTTCAATGAATATAAAGAAGGGATAACAAAAATTACTAAAAATAGCAACATGTTCAAAAATTTGCTGAGAAACATGGCTTAGATGGTATTTTTGATATTTCACACAAATTGCAGTTTAAGTAAACTCCATTTGGAAATGTTTGTTTTATGAACTTGTTTGTCTTTACCTTTTGTATTTTTGACAATATCAACGATAAGCTTTGGACGGCTTTGTTAAATAACTACTCTATACACCAAGCCATTGGTGGACTATTTCTTTTTCTTTAATTATTTAGTATTTGGTATCTGCTCTCGATTAATCCGAACCAATTACGGAAATATAATAGTTGGATAGCTTATATGAAAGATTTTCAATTATATATTATAACTTTAATATAAGATATTTTTACGTGTTTAATATACGGTACACAATTTATTTATCGTTTTCAGTCTCAAATTTTTTTTGTTTGTCCTTTGGCAACAATTGAATTGATCAACTCTTGTGTAATTGTTTAATTAGCAAATTCTTTGTTTGTCCTAGGCAACAATTGAATTTGAACATGTAAGAGAAAAATCCGTTCCATGTACGACCTCATGGGCTTACCTAAGCCCAATAGTCTTACTACAGGTCCAAGAGGAATTAAGAGTCTACTAAAACGATCAACAACAACATATTTTTATATTAGTGCATCCAAATATTTTCTTCAAGGACCAAACCAGATGATTTCAAATTTTGCAATAAAACCGACATCCAACATAAATCCCACCAGACATAACATGCTCTTTTATACTTAATTTTTTTTTTGAAAGTTTGTCTTTTTTTATTTCTCATTCGGGGTTCCATACATGTATTAGAACCTGACTAACTTGAATTCATAACACGTAGGGCTATATTTAGAGGGAACCGCTCCCTACCAAAAAAAATTCATATCTAAAATTCAAACTCAAACATCTAATTAAGAAAGGAGTTGTTTTATTTACTACACCGCATCCATTGGTATTTTCTCTTTTGTTGTTTTTCCCTATGTCCGGTTAAAAAGGATGCATAAAACTAAAAGCATGGAGTAATTGAAAAAATCGAGATACATACACCATAAAAATATAAAGATATTCTTTATATGATCTTCTCTCCTTTTAATTAACCTATGATTTATTTTGTTTCCTTAAATGCTACAAGATGCTATTGCTTTACTTTGTACTTCCTCTATTTCATTTTACCTAACTTCTTTGTTAAAAATAATTTTTTTATTAATGATTTGTGTCAAGTCAATATAATAAAATTTCTTAAATTATTTATTTTCATTTTTATCCTTACTTAATAAATATAAAGAATGATTAATATATGATGAAAAATAAAATAGTATTAAATTAAGATTAAAATTAAAAATAATAATTAATAAACTATATTTTAATTAATATATTTTTACAGAACATAAAAATAATTATAACAAGTAAATTGGACCAGTTGAAATATTCGTTTATTCAATTTGTCCCATATATAGTCACTGAAACGGAATAATACCTACTTTTGGAAGTTATTCTTTTTGTTGATTGTGAAAAAGTTAGTGATGCATGTGAAATAATTAGCACCCTTAATTAGTTGGAAGCAATAGATTAATTATCGCCTGAAATTTACATAAGACAGAATCACTTTCCTTTTTTTTTAATATGGAAAATGGTCTTTTCAAAAAGCATTATGGTCTATGAATTTAAATATATTGGTGCTACCCTAAGTACCTATACAATAAAATAACATCGCATCGAACAAAATCAGGATAAGAACAAAAACAAATTATTTGTAGTGCTTTTTCTTTACACACTCCTTAACAAAAAATACTCCCTCGCACTAGGGGTGTACACTATTTGGATTAAACCGAAAAATCAAATCAAATCAAATTCTAATTTGAATTGGTTTTTAAAATTTTTGGTTTGATTTTGGATTTATAATTTACTTTGTTTGGTTTCGAATTTAGAAAAATGAAAACCAAAAAAACCGAATTATATATATATACATACATACATATATATATATGTGTATGTACACACACACACACACACACACATATATATATATATATATATATATATATATATGTGTGTTTAGAATTAAGTTGGAGTTAACCACTTTTGTCCCTTTTTAGTTATTTTCATTATGATTTAGTTTATTTTCTTATGTTTGGACA